CATCCTTTTAATTATGTTTGAAATTATGAACATTGCTCAACATCATGAAAATTAAACCTTATTTTCAATAAGCAATCCTGAAAAATATTTGGGGGTGCTTAACTTTTTTCCAGGTGTATATATACAAGAATCGGTGAAGCAATAAGAGTTTTCAGTTCGTTCAGTGACTGAAAAGTTAGTATAATATTCAAATCACTGAGATCATGATTAATTATTGTGTATAGTCCTTAAATAGCTTTGCACAAAATTCCAAAAAACAAAATAATAGTAGGTAAACAGGAAAATAAAATACAAATTATTGGCTATTGTGTTATGATAAATTACGTTAAAGAGTAAAACAAATTGTATTTGGATAAAAACTTAGATATAATAAAGTATAATAAACAAAGAAGAAATGCAAACACGTTTTTCTTGAAATATAAATCAGACATTCATGATCAGCAGGTATTAAAATAAACATTAAACCAAGGACAAAACTTCAACAGCAAAGCCTAATTTTTCAATGTCAGAAACAAACATGTCAGAGAACTCTAAACGTGAGTTTATAATTCACTTTCTCTCAATAATTTAAAGTATTTTTTCCTTCACGTGACGATCATGAGTAGTTTCACGTGCATACTTATTGTAGGTTATGTTGTTGTTTTTTTTAATTTAGAAATTTGTACTGTTTCACGTCAATTGGTGAGCGAGGCCTAATGACTAGAACCTTCTTTGATATTTGAAGAGTTTGAGAAAAACATAAGAGCAAGTTAAGTTAGATGACAAAACCTTGTCGAAACGTTGTACATTTGTTGTTATGTTAAAGTTTTTCTTCATTACCCATTCAAACCGTCTCCAGCCATTATAAGTTAGATAGGTTGTCGATTAATGTTTACGTTTGTTAAGTTTTTGCTGACTATTGAGTCAGCAAATATGTTAAAAAGTTACTATCAGTCAGCTAGTCAAAAAGTTCAGTTTTGTGAATATTGAATTTGTCTTTCCACAAAAGAGATATGAGCAGTACTGCCTACAGAGGAGACAGTGTCACGTGCTTACATGTATAATTACAAAACACAATAGCCCAGTATGTGGTCACGCCGATCTTCTCAGTATTCATGCCTCCTAGAATACCATCCAACTTCTGATTTCTCCGGAGAAAATGGTGTTTTATTTAAACAACTCCACAGTTTGCGAAAATGAAAAAAAATAAATGAATAAATAAACATTTTCATCAAAGCCTCCGCAAAATTTATTAAAATGGTTTTTAGTACATCTAAGGTGAATGAATGTTTAATTGTTTTTGTTCTGTCTTAGAAGTATAAAATAGAATTAGATAATTTATATATGTGTAAGACTATGTGTGTGTAGCAGCTGAACTTTAACTAATGTAGAACTGGTGAAGTAAGTAGTTCTAAAACTGTCATGTGTAGCACTATGTTTTTTAAGTATGTGGTGGTATCAAGGGAGATGTAGTGCTGCCTGAACAGTGGTTCGGCATTTGAGCTTTGAGCCAAGTCCCTACACTTGAAATCTTAAAATGTGTATATAAAAATACGTTAATCAGTTTATACCTGAAATTTTCTTTTACAACCAAACTATCAGACTGTCAGCGAATACTTTGGCTGTTTGTAATCACCGTATCCAATGGTATAGCGCTCTCAGGCCACCCAGTACACATTCACTGTCACTCTACCTTTGGAAATGGCATCAGGCACCATGTTCACCACTCCAACTTAAAAACAGATGTCAAAGTGTTAAAATGGTGAGTTTTGTCAATATGTGTTGTGATTATTTAAAAGAGTCAAAGTAATTAATGTATTGCAGTTTAAAATAGTATAAATTAATAAGGTATGCATTTTTAAAAGTTGTTTTAATGCGATTTTTATATGGTACCCAGTTATTTTTTTCCTTGCTGCTTAATTCAAAGGAAGTTAAGTTGCGCGTTTTCTCTCTGTAATATATACTTATATAAGTAATCTCAAATAATAGCGCCGCCTATATTTTCTTCTGTTCTCACAGAAATGGAAATTGGATTTTGAATACGAAATATTTACCCTTATAGTGACATCACATGTTTGACAAATTTCAACACAATAAAATTCAGCACTGGTTATTGTGCAACAAACATTCACCTAATCACTTTAGTACAGCTATTTTACCCATTTTACTAGATATGTATGATGCGATGCAGTGCGAATTCATATGTAAATGCAGTACTTCCAATAGAATAGTTTTCTACAGAGCAGTCAGTTAGCCCATTAACTGGAGGTTTATAAGATACCACACTAAAAAGAGTGTGACCGAGTATCTTTCCAATCTTCAACTGGAATAGTCGAAGCTAAAAGATGTAGAAGTGCAACGTTTATTAACAAGAAGATAATCATAATACAAACATTAAGGATAAGTGTTTTGTTGTGTGTGTTGGACTGGTAGGAGAGAGAGTGTGTGAAAAAGCGAAACCTTACCACCTAGTGAGCTCTGTCTTACCAGTTCAATATATATATATAAACTGCAATAATACGTATAAAACTATACCGAATTAAAATATTGTTAAAACAAAAGTTACAGACATTGCCAAAGTTCTGAAAGTCTCTACACAATCTCCGCAAGAATCCGACTAGTAGTGAAGAACTTGACTTGTAATGATAGAAAATACAACACCACTGAAGATTTTTGTGAGTGGTACTGGTTACAAACATAGTAAGTAAGTGATATTGTTGTGGTAGCATCTACTGTGAACTCGGGCCTATCAATGAGCGTTGCTAAAGCTTTTTAAACTTGAAGTTCAAGAAATAAAACACTTTTGTTATCATTAATAAACTGGAGTTAGTATCCTTCTTTTTAAACGAATAATCCAAAAGAGTTCACTTAAATACAACACAACTTCGCAAGTTAATGTTGGACATAATACATATAACTATCCCATGAAACTGTTCATAATTTCTATGATTTGATCCTGCTACATAAAATCATGCACCTACGGTGAATTAGCAGATAAACTCATTAGACCTAATACATTTCTTAATCAGAACTTTAGTTGTAAATATGAAATATTTACTATAGGAGAATGGATTTGTATGGTATTTGCAAACCTTTCCATTACGTAT